TGAATATTAATATATATTTATAACTGGCGAAAATATATAATTAATTAGATCAAATGAAAAAAAAAACATACGAAAAGTATTTTACTGGAAAAGGGGAAGATAATATGAACAATGTATAAAAACTTTGCTAACATATGCCAGTTGAATTACAACTGCTATATTTTGTTAATAAAAATAATGACAAAGAATGGTCCCTTTCAACAAGATAAGAAGATAAAATTGTAAACTATCATATGCAATTATTCATGTAAACGATTTTAATTTAGTTTTACTGTTCATATTTATCAATCTTCCCCAAATAAAAAATATTTCGAATAAACAAGACTAACTTAGATAATGAAGGTTTCTCAACCAAAATTTTCATGCAATCTTTTTTCACTATTACTTTTAAATATTATTTTTTTCAACTTTCGATATATTTGGCAATGTCCATTATGTAATGTCTTGTGATTGGTTAATTGAAAATAATTATTCAAAAAATTTGAATAGATCATAAAAATATAAAAGACAGTATAATTTAAAATCACATTAACATATAAGTAAGAAAATTGAAATCGATAATGTTTTTCCTCATAATGCCCATAAAGTATATAAACATTTTTTGTTTTTCCAAATAACCTATAAAAAAAAATAAATTGTGTAGTAGTATGAGAACGGTTGAATTCTTATTTTGCAGCCTAAACTTCTAATATACTCAATTTCCTTCTTAAAATAAGATTAGAATAATTTTATGAAATTGTATAAAATTAAAACTCATACTATTTATTTTCATGTTGAATGGGATACCACTTGAGCAACATGATTTTAATTTAGATCATACGATTATCTATAATTTAATTAAAAATATATGGAGAATCATGATATGCCTATATACCTTGAAAATTAATTAAATTACTTATCTATCTATTTATTTGTATTATTCCCACAAAGCAATTTCTTATAAAAAAATCATTAAAATTTCGATGTAACATGTTTTCATTGGAATTTTATCATTTGTTTACAGTAAAAGTGAATCCAAGTCAAATTAAACAATTTTGCACTATATATAATATTGTGTTCAATTAACTATTTTGAAAATTATTGACAATGATACAAAATATAACATATTCAATGTATTATGATTTTACTTATGATAATTAGTGTTTCTTTTTTTTACAAAAGTTATATCTAGGTTGAAAAGTCTGTTTTTATTTATTAGTGTAATAACTAAACAAGAGGTAAGAATGAAGTTCTATGTATAAAAAAAAAAAAAAAAAAAAAAA